ACCGCGGACTTCCCCCTACGCCCTCCGCTCACGCGGACCTCTTCTGGCCCCCTCCAGTCCGGTCCGTCATCTCCCCATGGCCGACGGTGCGTCACATGCCTCCGACACAGCGATGACCACGGCATCGGGCTCCACACCCGTGCCGGCGGACCAGGGTCATCAGCCCTAGGGGGATCTACACACCCCCCTCACCTCCCTCCTTGCACCCATCCAGGCGCAACTCGCGACCCTTGCGCCCATCCAGGCGCAACTCGCGACCCTCGCGCCCCTACAGGCGCAAGTGGCGACCCTTGCCGCCGGCATGCAGCAACTCCAGGACGCTGCGTGTCCGTCATCTCCTGGCTCCCAGTCCGGGTCCCCCGTCCTCCAACAGGGTGGCCACGGCGGAGCCTCCTCCTCCGTTGCCCCTGACCCAACCATCTTGGTGACTGTCCACGCCCCTAGCACGACGGCCGCCACGAGCCAGGCCCCCCCTCAGTCTACGGGTGCACCCGCCCAGATCCCGGTCCCTACGGCCACGGTACAACAACCCGCTACCATGGTCTCAGCTTTTCCGGGTGCCCCGCTTCTCCCTCCCCTTCGCACGACCGCAGCGCCACCTGGCTCTTCCCCCTCTGGGATGCCCCGCGCCACTTGTGCGTCCACCCCCTCCACTCTTCCTCCTGCCACCCCTCGATCGACCTACGTTCGAGGTCTTACGGACGAGATTGCCCAGCTCCGGGCCGACCTCGCCCTCTTACGCCTTCAGCCACCCCCATCCTCACAGGTGGCCGCGCCTTCGGGCGCACCCCCTACCTCCTCTACCCTTCCTCCCATGCAGGCTTGCTTTCCGCGCCCTGCACCCTATACAACTCCTTCCTACCTTCTTCCTACTCCTGCGGTTGCTGCGACCTCTTCTACCGCAGCACCCTCGCAGCCTGCCGCTGTTGCCACCGTCACTCCCCCATGCGGCCCGGGCGCACAGTGAGCTGCGCCCCTTTCTCCAGGACCTGCGCCGACTTACTCAGCCGTGGCACAGGCCTCCGCTCCTCGATCCCCTCGCCGCCAAAACGGTGGCGCACCACTCATCCGCTTGTCGGACATAGCCTTGTATGACGGTACAGGCATACGCGTGTCTCGGTGGCTGCAGTCTGCCATCCGCACACTCCAGCTCATGGGCGCCACACCCGAGACGTGGGTGGGTCACCTCTCCACGCGCCTGCGTGGCGGTCCTTTCGAGGCCTGGGAGGATTTTTATGCCTACTCCCTTCGTGAGGGTCGGACTCCGACCTTCGTGGATTTCCAGGCGTTCCTCGAGGATCGGTTCGGAGCCCGATGCGACGTGACTGACGCCTTCGAGCGTGTCGTCACTACACGCTGGTCCGGCTCTGGTGGCGCTACCGGCCTGGATCGCCACATCCAGGTCTTTCAGAATGCCCGCCTCGTTTGCAACGTGGCGTTCCTTCCCGAGGTTGCCCTTATCGATCGTTTCTTGGCCAGCCTTCCRCTCGAGTACCGCTCCGAGCTATGGCGGTACGAGTTCACATCGTCCCCACAGGCTTACGAGGCCGCCAGGGACCACCAGCGGATGCGAGCCCGTCTTCACCCCGCCTCCTCCTCCCAGCCCCAGCGCACGGGCTACGCCTCCTCCTCCTCTCACGACACTTCCCAGCGCCGTTCCCCTTTCCGCGGTCGCCCCCGCCGTTCCACGCAGCAGGGCTGCCACTTCTCGCGCCGCTTCGGCGAGCTGGAGTATGGTGAGCAGGACGCTGTTGCCCCACTGTCACCTGAGGGCGACCACAGCGACGACCTCGATCTCTGCGAGGTCGTCCACTATCACTTGGAGGACTCGACCCTCCCTGCAGCTGAGCTCCTTCAGCTCGCGCTCTTCGCCCTCTCTCGGGCACGCAGCCGCGCTGATCACGCTCGCGCGTTCTCCCCCGAGGTCCCTCAGGAGGAACTCCCTCACGGCTTCGTCCCTCCTCGCGGTGTCCTTTCCGCTGAGGAGCGCGCGGCTATTCTGGGCCGACGTGGGTGTTTGCGCTGCCGCTTGGACGGTCATACCTCCTCGCGATGCCCTTACACT